GTGCCGGCGCTGCCTCTGCCCTGCATTCGCTGTCTGCGTCCCTTCCCCCTGCTTCTGTCCCCAAACCCTCCCCGCTCCCTCCCTGCTGCGCTTCCGTCCCTTCCCAGGTCACATCAGGAGAGCAACGGGACCCCCACCAGCACCAACCACCGCTGTGCAGCACAGGGGATGGGGACCGCGTGGGGCTTCGACACTCGGGGATGGGGTCTGGGGAGCCCTTTGCAACCCAGCAGAAGAAGGGGGGAGGCATAGCCGGGGTTACGCAGCCCTCCCCCTGGGCACGGCGCTTTGAAAAACCAATGCGAATGCACCAGGACTGTTATGATAATGCACTGAGATGTCAGCGCTGCCTTCCCTCCCCTCCAAGGAAACCTCCAAAGAAGGAAGCGGAGCGCAGCGAGCAGCTGGCCTCCATCACACCATGTCCCTGCTCTGCCGGTGCCCTGGGACCACCTCGGGACACGGCCAGCATGCAGTGCTGCTCAGCCCAGCGTCAGCAGCATTGCATCATTCACCTGCTCCTCCCGAAATCAGGACCTGGAGGCACAGACTCCCTCACTGGCCAGACTGGGGTGAGCAGGGTCAGTGCTGGAGCCCACCCCAATGCTAGTGCCAACCCCAATGCTGGTGCCAACCCCAATGCTCACCTTGGCCAACACAAACAGTCCTCGTCACTGCCAGGAGGGTAGCGGGGAGAAGCCAGGGATGAGAACCACGTCACCAGTAGCAGACCAGAGGAAGGTCCAGCAAGGCTGAGATGGCGGCTCCCAGTCAATCCTGTGCACCCCTTTAGAGCACCATTGGCTGACACTGCTGTGAGGGCAGCCAGGAGCAATGCACAGCTCCTCTTGCTGGCACGCTGCTGGCTGTGGGGTGGGACACGTGCACTCATCCACACCACTGCAGCTCCCCAATCACTGCCACCATCTGCTGCCAGCGATCAAGGTCCCCCAACGGCCCATGGGCACGTGCCAACCCGCTGCTGTGCACCCAGTGCCAGCACCAACACCAGAGCCAGCAAACACCCCAACGCTTCACCGCCTGCCCCATCCCTGGTGCCACTCAAGGGTGGCACAGAGCTGCTCTCAGTAGTGGCTTCAGGAGCTGTGAAGTGGGGTTCAGCCTTGGCTGTGTGGTCTCAGGGCAGCGCTGTTCTGCCTGTGCCAGCTGGGCCATGTCACAGCCATCAGTCGCCCAGGGTGGCCACGGCCATGGGCACAGAGAGAGCAGCCATACACTGGGGCTCTGAGCAGCAGCTCTGGGTGGGGGCTGCCCTGGATCTCTCAGGAGAGAAAAGCTGGGGCTTTTCCTTAGGGTAAACACACACACACAAAAAAAGCATATTCTCAATCTCCCGTTGCTTTTTTCCAAAAGGTAGGGAGAAAGGGAAGGGAATAAACACAGGAAGTGAAGAACAAACTTTCTCTGGGTGCTGCTTTCCTCCCCCATCCCCAAAGTCAAAGTTTGCCGAGCGCGGGGAGGACGACCCCACCCTTTCCCCATGGGGAAAACCCTCCTGGCTCACCCGGTGCCCTTCCTGCACTGTGAAGGTCACTGCTGCCCAGCGTTTGCAAACAAAAGCTTGGGACACGGCCAGCAGTACAACCCAAGGACCCTGCGGTGGCCAAAGTGCTGCATGGGTGCATCCCTCTCCTGCACTCCCCCTTGGTGCAAGCAGCAGCAGCAGCACTGTGCCACATGCACATCACCAAAGCTCATCAGTAGCACTGTGCATCCCTGGCAGGATTCACAGCTGGCTGCCTCTGTCTAGGAGCTGTTCCCAGCAGCTCAGGCTTTTGCCTGGAGTTCCTCTGCATCCCATTCTCTTCCTCCTCAGTTGCTTGCCTTGGAGGAGGTCAGGACCCCTCCTGGTCTCCAGGGCATGGTGCACAGCTCCTCTCCATCAGTGCTTGTCATGTGCAGAAGGCTCCACATCCATGTAGGTGCCCAGTCTGTTCTGCAGTTCCTTTGCATGGGAACTCACACTGCTACCATGAGTGCTACCTCCCCATCTCACACTGCTACCATGCATTGGCAGGGCTCCTTGAAGTGTGCACAGCAAGCTGGATACACCAGGATACAAAAAGTACACTGAGAACTGGAGCTGGGGACAGAACGAGTCACCTCTGAGCTGCACCCAAAACCCAGGAACCGTTCCTTCACTGTGGCCATCCTTGTGGTGTGGAGGCTGTGAGCTGTCATCCACATGGGCTGGGAGCAGGAGAGGAGGAGGGGGGTACAGCCTCTCCTCCCATCCCTGGGAACCAGCCAAGCACCAAACCCAGAGCAGACCTGTGAGGAAGGGGATCCTGACTGCACTCCCCTCCTTGGTCAGGCTCAATCCAGGCCAACCCCTCCAAGGGCTCTCAGCCTGCTAACAGCATCCCCCAGCTCCCGTGTTGGCTGCACGCCACCGGGAATGAAGCACCTTGTCCTCCCACACCCCAACCCGAATTTCAGCTCTGCACGCACCTCCCCACCCCCTGGCCCCAGCCCCGTTGAGGGGCCCCGTGTAAATCAGGAGGTGTAAATCTGGAGACGTAAATCTGGAGCATTTACGCACGTCCCGATAGCGGCTTCGGGGGCGAGCATCCAGGCAGCTCCTGGGCGAGGGGCTCAGGTGGCTGTGAGCCAAACCCTCCTTTCATCCTGGCCTCCTTCCTCTGTTTTTCCAGCCTTTTCTTCACCTCTCTCCCTCCCTCTCCTCAGCCACATCCCTGTCCTCTGACCAAGCCCTTGAAAGCTGTTTGTTTTCCCAGGAAGAAGGGAACGCAGGGTGTCATCCATGGGCACCCTGCGAGGAGGTGGGAGAGAAGAACCCACTTCCAAGCAGCCCCGTGCAAACTGCTGAGCCCTGACCTGTTGGGGAGCACAGGGCAAAAATCTGGGAGCAGAGCATCGGGAAATGGAGCCTTTCTCCTCCATCCACACAGCAGCCCCATTGCACAGCCGGGAGCACAAAGGAGCAGCTTTGTCTGCGAGGAATCAGTGACGCTCTGGGAAGATTTATTTCCCCCTGAGCCATAATAAACCGGACCCTCTGTGCGCTGCTCAGAGCACAAGTTCTGCACCTTGGATGTGAGAGAAAAAAATAAATAGAAGCAATTCTGCAGGCGCAGCAGCAACCCAACAGCCAGAGGATGAGTGCCAGCACTCAGCTCCTCCGCCGTCCCCACGCAGAGCGAGGGGCCGTGACAAAGGCAGCAGGAGGGGGCCGGGCTGCTCCCTGTGCAGCCATTCCAACTGATCCAAGTGGGATAACGAGGGCTGTGCACCCTCCCTGCTCGGCTGCGTGGTGCACGGTGACAGCCCCAGCGTGGGTCACAGCACTGTGGGAGGATGGGCAGAACAAGCAGACAGGAATTCATAGGAATTGAACAAAGGGAAGAGCGGGGAATCAGCAGCCAGGAGCCGAGCTGATGGAGGAGAAGTTTGGGAATTGCTGCTCTCAGCGTTTCCAAATTCCCTTCTGCTTACAGGAGTTATGAGTGAGGCTTGGCTCGCTTGGGGGGGCTGAAAGGGAAAAGGCTGCGGAGAGAGGAGGAGATGAAGGCAAAGAGAGGAGGGCAGAGCTCCACGCAACCCCCTGGCCTGCCCCACATCCTAACCAGGCACTGACACGGGCTCAGCACAGCCTGGAAATGCATTGAGCTCAGCCCTGGGATGAAAGCGCTTTGTGGGCACCCACACAGCCGCCCTGGGTGCGCAGCCAGGCACGGAGGTTTCCCTCTCACCGCTGGTTTTCCCCCATTGGATTAGGGTAACCCAATCCATGCCCTAACCCCAGCCACGCCGCCAGCTGAGCTGAGAGAGCGTTTCCGGAGCCGCATTCACCGCCGAGGCAGGGATGGGGGCCAGCAGCCAGCACAGCCCCCACGCTAACAACAACGAGCTCCTGGCTCCTGCTGCTCCTGGCACAGCACGGGGATGCATCCGAGCAGCATCTGCACACCCTGCTCCTACAGGCCCACGCACTGCTGTGTTCCCCATTCAGCTGCTGGGGATGCAATGCATTTATTTGACCTCCTGCCCTGTTCTGAGCTTGGGAGTTGGCCCTGGTGTTGGGACACCGCTGGGCTGCTTTGGCCATCACGTGCCATTTGGCACCTCCAAGCCTGGCCATGCAGGGAAGGAACGCTGAGCAGCCCCAGGAGGGAGAGTGCCATGAGCACCCGTCTTCTCTGCCACCCCACCCTGGTGACAAACCACACACGTCAGCTGCCACAGCACCGCACCTCACCATCCATCACTGGACGTCAGCCTGCACCCAATGCTTTGCTGCATTCTGTGCACCCTACAGGGTGGGCCACTGAGCCCACCAGCACCTCAGCCAGGCTGGGCTTTCTGGGCTGCAAACACATCCTGGCAGTAAATCCATGGGAGATACACAAAGAGGGAAAGTCACAAAGCCTGAGTTGGATCCTGCACGCAGCGCTGGGGCTGGCAGCTGCTGGGCAAAGTCCCCGGAAGGGAGGGAGCACGGCGGCTGCCTGCGTGCCCACATCCCACAGGGTGACTCTGCATCAATGAGCACAACGTGTAACGTCACCACCACGCAGCTGGGCGGTGGTGGCACTGAGCGGTGACACCTGAGGGGCCCTATGAGGTTGGGACCATCATGGATCCGGGGTCCCAGCCCGGATAGATGGGAGATAAGATGGCAAAGCCCCCTCTGTGCTCAGCACTGCAGGGCGGGATGGAGCCCAAGGACCTCAGGGGATTTCCAGAGAACAAAGCGGCTGCTGGCAGTCAGCATTGCCTGCGGCGGGGGGGCCGGCACTCCTCTCCTGCTCCAGCCAAGGAGAAGAGTCCAGGGGAAGCAGAGAGTTTATGTTTGATCTCCCTGGTAACTCCAGCTCCATCACAGCTCCGGCTCTGGAAGGGGGGAGAGGCAAAGGCATCCCTCAAAGGGACAGCCCGGCTGGAATGCGCTGCTGAGAGAGATGCAGAGCCTGGGGCAGCCCGTATCCATGGTCTGACATTTGAGGAATGTCACAGCAGTGTGACAGCAGTGACCGAGGATGGGGGCACAGCTCTGTGCCCACTTCAGCCACATTGCCCCGCTGTCCCTTTTTGGGGACAAATACACCCACATCCCAGCACCCACTGTGCCCACAGAGAGCTGTGCAGACGCTGAGATGCACATGGCACAGCGTGGGTGAGCAGACAGGAGACGTGGAGTGCATAACCCAGCTCAGGACACAGCCATCAGCCTCCCCCCACAAAACCACAGCCCCCACCAACCTGGAACCATTCCGGATCTGCAGACCATCCCCCTGGCCATGGGGTCACAGTGGGGACGTGGGCGCAGGGTCCGGAGCGGTGCTGTGGGCAAAACCTCCAAACCAGGTGCTGCACAGATATGGCCACAGAACCGCACACCAACCCCAGGCCTGAGGGATATAAAGCTCTCCCTAAGCTCTTTACCAAACCACCTCCGGCAGCAGAAATACCTGTCTGAAGCAATCGAGGCAGAAAGCAAACCAGAGCCGAGCTCTCCTCGGGCAACTCAGGTCAGGGGTGGGGGATTACGGCAGCAGCGTGGGGAAATCCTTTCGGGTTAAATCCTCAGCACCTGCTTAAACCACCGCACACGATAATCGCGACAGCATCCTTTCGGCGACGGGCACCGCAGCGACACTTCGGCGGCCGCATCCGCGTCGCCCCGCGGCCCCCCGCCCGCAGACAATGGCCCACGTGTGTCACCGCACCGCACCGCACCGCACTCACCGCCGCCACCGCGCGTCCCTTCCGTCCGCACCGTTTGCCAAAGCCGGCGGCTGTGAGCTGCCGCTGGATGATTTCCTGCAGAGCCCTTCGGGACCGCGGTCAGTATCAATCATTAACAGCCACCGCAGCCCGGCTGCTTTAACCCCCTCGGCACCGCGCCGCAGCGGTAGGATTCTTCCATCGGCGTTGGTTACGGTGTCCCAAAGCCCCTCGCGCGTCACCGCGGTGCGGCTCACCCATCCACCCTCTCCCAATGCAAAGGGGCTCCCGAGGGGCTCTGCACCCTGGGGGATTCGTGCCTGTCCCTACAGCACTGAGCAGCTGCACCTGGTGGCGGTTGCAAAGTCCTCATTATGAGCATCCCACGCTGCTCCACGCCTCCGACCCTGAAGGCCTCATCCTGTCTCTGTGCAGTGAGGCTGGACTCTGCAGCCCAATGAGCAGCGGAGAATAGCAGAGGGGGGGATGCTGTGGGGTGCAGCACGCAGCTGGCACCGTCCCTATGTGTCTGGGAAGGGCGAACGTTCCCTCTAACAAAAGTCACCACCTGCAGCCAGGCGTGCTGTCAGTACAGGGTTAATCCCTTGGCAGGGACATCTCCCTGCTCCCCAGGCACAGACCATACCCCCAAGTGCTGCAGGGACTGGACACATCTCCTTCCCTTCCTACTGCTGTTAGCCATCCTGTGGGGCAGCTGATGATTAACCTTGGGCTGCAGTTGCCGCCGGCCCCCACCATCCCATGCCAGAGCACATCAGTGCCTGCAGCCACTGAGGGGATGAGAAAAAGCTCAGCCACCAAAGCAGACCCACGGGGTAAGGAAAGCATCTCCATCCCCAGCCCCGTGCTTCCCCTTTTCCTGCAGCAATGGAGCAAACATCCACGCTCAGCCCATGCTCCCCTCCTTCAGCGCGGTCCCATTGCTGCAGCCATGGGGTAGAGGTACTCACAGCCCGATGCAGATTGGGATTTCGGACACCGACACGCAGTGGATTTTGTCTTCTCCAGCAGCTCAGCCCTGCCTGCAACCCCAGGGGCGTCCAGGCTGCGAGTGCTCATAAATAGCTTTGGACAAACATCTGCACGGCACCACCCCGCGCAGGCTGGAAAGCAGAGGGCTGCTGTGGGGATGGTTTTAATCAAGATAGAAGACCATCGAACGGCCAAAAAAACCCACACAGACAGGAGTGAGCTGTAAATAAGCACAGATGCGGCGGCCGATAAGATCTGCCTGCAGCAGGGCTCGGCCCCTTTGCATATGGGTGCAGCCTTTGGATTTCCCATTCCCGGGGCAGCAACTCGGGATGCTGGGGGGCAAAACATCGTTCTGCTTCCACCCCCAATGCCAAACCCTCAGCCCCAATGCCGCCACCACAGCACAGCACGGGCTCAGAGCATCCAGCCAGCTGTGGGTTGGACGGCGGCTGCTTCTCGCATGGATTTGGGTTTGGGGGGGACTTTGGGTTCACTTGTCCACGGGTTCATGGGCTGCTGCCAGCCCTCCAAGTGACTCATCGGCTGCTCTGTGCCCAGACCTCCTGCAGTCAAGCCCCGACGCATTCGGCACATTCCTGGCATTGCCGGCGCGGTGTGCAGCCCCACACCTGTTACAGTGGAGAGGAAGGGTGGGAACAAGCAGCTAGCTTGGATCTCTGCAAAGAGGCTCATGTGCTGCAGTTCACAGTCCCCATGCTGCAGCAGAGCTGGTGCAGTCTCAC